TTTTTGAGTCTTGCTCTGTCTCCAGGCTTGAGCGCAGTGGCACAATCTTGACTCACTGCAACCTCCGCCTCCCGGGTTCCTGTGATTCTCCTGCCTCGGCCTCCCAAGTAACTGGGACTACAGGCGCAGACCACCACGCCCAGCTAATTTATGTATTTTAGTAGAGACGGGGTTTCAGCATGTTGGCCAGGATGGTCTTGATCTCTTGACCTTGTGATCTCCCTGCCTTGAAGTGCTAGGATTACAGGTATGAGCCACTGACACCCAGCCTCCTGTGACTTTTTAAAAAAGAACAGTAGGGGACTTTCTACCCACGTGGGAGGAGAGGACTTACTTTCTGTACAATTATGTCTGCCAGAACATTTTAAAAAGAAAAGCCTTGATCTCAAATATCAACCATATATAAACATTTCTATTACATAAGCCCAGAGGCAGTTAATATTTTTAATGAAGACAAAAGCACACAGAATACAATTATATTTCTCTTAAATCACAGTTTACACCAAACTAATTGAATTTAAAAGTAACTAAACAAGAAAACATCAATTAGATGTCTATTCTCCCTCATATAATTAGGTTGTTTTATTGCCCATGTTTCATAACTGTTGCAAAGCAGCTTTTAAAACCTATCATTAGTTTTCCAGAAAAAGAAATGAGAAGTGTTATATGTTTTGGACTCTAAGGTGTTGTTTTGATAGGTATGCTGCTGTTGAAATTAGATCCTCTTGACAAACAGGTGTTCTCGGTACACATGATTTTTAAAACATCCTGACCTGTTAGAAACAGTTATACTGACAGTTACAGCTACTAAGGTTAATCACTGCAGTTGCTCATGAGTACTTTGTTTATATACTAGCCAAAGCAAGTTATCATGAATGAATCCTCTCTACTCTCCTCACTTTGAGCAAGAGAAACAATAGCTTTAAAAGTAAGTTGGTTTCAAAGGTAAAAGAAGCCAAGATCACGCCACTTAATTGCATCTTTGAGAATCTAAGTATAGAAGAAATGAGGTATCTGTAAAAGTGGTCTCCATGAAACTCTATTTAAATGTGTGCTTCTTTTGTTCAACCTTCCTCCTACTTTCCCTTTTCTAGAATAAGTACCATCGGGTGATAAATTAGAGAATACTGTTTTACAAGATCAAATTTCCAAGTAACAAAAACTTTTATGGCAGTTTCATACAGAAGATGTCCTGGATATATAATTCCGTATATAATATGTAATTCAGCTAGTGGGGACATTTCTTTAGTGCCCTTATTAACAACTCTCTACTCCTTTTTATGACTTTTTCCTCATTTAGCCTAATGATAATAATAGCCAAATGCATAATAAAATTCAACTTCACACTTACTGGCACATCATCGACCTTCATAGCCATCTTCTGGACTTTCATGTCCATAATCCCATTAATATTTGTAAAAATCCTGAAAGAAATTCTGAGTATTACTTTAAATATCTTGAAATCATGTAGCAGAGGTTCACAAAGATTATATCAACTCCTAGCCTTACAAAGCTGGCAAACAAGTGAGAGATGCCAGAATTCTTTTTATTCTACCACCTACTATCCCTTCCATAGACCTGCCCTTAATAACCACACTCCCATTCATTTCTCCTGACATTCCTTTGGTGTTTACATAAAGAACACACGATTTAGCATTTGAAGACTAGCTTGTATTGTTCTGTAATGAGCTCTCCCCTGCCTTATTTCTTAAATGAGATTTTACACTCCTCAAAGGTAAACATCTTTTATGCCAGCCTTTCAGCATCACACTGTATTAGTGGGCAAGGGTGGAAATACAAGACCTACTTGGGCGACAACACTTCTTTGCTTAACAGAATCTATACCGCTCTTTGCAGACCTAGATCCTTCTCTACTACATCTTTTTGCCTTTGCTTCCTGCTATACTTTGTATCTCAGTTTTCCACAGGTGTTGGTTATTGCTCTAACCCTTAGATGCCCAGTTCTGCCTTCATACCCTCCTACTTTTTCATCTGCTGTAGTTCAACAATCCAACTATTGATGTTGGCTTGTTCTAATGTTGCACCTTTGCCACTTCAGCAGCTGGTTTTTCGAACTGGTCCTGCCTGCAGATAGAGCTGATGGTACAACTAAATACCTCTTCTGGACATGCTATCTAGCTAGACTTTTTCTTACTTTAGCAACCTTCATACATGATATGTGAATTGGTACATCACACTCAGCTGGAAAAAAAAATGCCCACATACAGCAATATCTCTGCTTACAGTAATTCCAAATTTCTTCCTATTATGGGGCTCCATAGTGGCTCATTATTTCCTATACTATTCTATAGCCACTAAAGATTTCTAGTTTTCTTGCACTTTCCCTGTGAAATGGAAAGGAAGGAACTTGTCAGATTCATCTTTGTAGCAGAACGTTGATTTGTAAATGAAGTGTTGATGCATTGTTGATGTTACTTATTTAACAAAGGTGTAGTAGACATTAGCAGGGCAGATAGGTATTCTAAGAAAATGGCTTGACAGAAGAGCTGAAAGAATTTGTTTAGAATTTTAGAATTCTCAAAGGGCTTCATGTTCATTTCACCTAGATAGGGAGAGGGTATATCCTTTTGCCTAGAGCATGTCTCAACCATCCAGAATTAAAATGGCTGTTCCGGGGGCGGTGCGGTGGCTCACGCCTGTAATCCCAGCACCTTGGGAGGCCAGATCACAAAGTCAAGAGATCGAGACAATGTTAAAACTCCATCTCTACTGAAAAATACAAAAATTATCTGGGCGTGGTGGTGCACACCTGTAGTCCCAGCTACTCGGGAGGCTGAGGCAGGAGAATTGCTTGAACCCGAGACGCGGAGGTTGCAGTAAGCAGAGATCGCGCCACTGCACTCCAGCCTGGCAC